TCAAAAACATGTTGAACGTCTTCTCAAGCACAAAATTGTTCATGTCCAGTCAGACTGGGGGGGCGAGTATCGCAACATCAACTCTTTCTTTCAGTCGCTTGGGATAGCTCATCGTTTAGCATGTCCACATACACATCAGCAGAATGGTTCAGTCGAACGTAAGCATTGTCATATTGTTGAAGCTGGTCTTACTCTTTTGGCCCATGCATCTGTTCCGTTTCGGCTTTGGAGTGATGCTTTCACCACTGCATGCTTTCTCATCAACTGTACTCCTACTCGTGTTTTAAACATGAAGACTCCCATTGAGGTTCTCCTTAATGAACAACCTGATTATACCTTTCTCAAGGTATTTGGGTGTGCTTGCTGGCCGCATCTTCGTCCATATAACAAGCGCAAGCTTGAGTTTCGTTCTAAGAAGTGTGTTTTTCTTGGCTATAGCTCTCTTCATAAAGGTTACAAATGTCTTCATGTTCCCACTAATCGTGTCTATATATCTCAGGACGTCATGTTTGATGAGCATGTTTTTCCCTTTGCCAACCTTCCTGTGTCCACTGCCGAACCACCATCCCTGCATTCATCCTCTATTGCTTCTGACCAATTTGATGATGTTGCATACTCTCCTTTGCTGTTACCTAACCATGGTGCAGGAACCGGACGTGGAGCTCGTTTGGAGCTGTTGGAGGATTCACCATCATCATCGTCGTCTTCTGGTGGGCATGTCGATCGCCCTATGTTGCATGGCATCGATTCACGTGCCCATGCATGGTCACCCGACGAGCCCGTCGCGCCGAGCATCTCCACTGCTTGGTCCGTTTCGCCAGCGGCCGCCGAGTCGCCCGCGGCTCGGCCCGTCACGCCGTCTTCGCCTGCGGCTCGGCCCGTCACGCCGTCTTCGCCCGCGGCTCGGGTCCTCACGTCGCCTTCATCAGCGGATCGGCCCGCGACACCGGCCGCGCCACGACCCACTATGCCGAGCTCGCCATCGGCCCGGTCTGTGATGCTGGAGTCGCCAGCTACTTCGTCTGCTCTGCCGGTTTCGCCGGTGGGTCGGCCTTCTTCGCCAACCGAGTCCGAGGCTACCGTGACTGGCTCCTCGTCACCGGCTGACTCGTCAACATCGCCGTCCTCCAGCCCGTTGCAGGCTGCTCCGTCGACCTCGGTGGTTCCTGTGTCCCGACCACATACACACAGTCGCAGTGGCATTTTCAAACCTAAGGAACGTAAGGATGGTACGGTTGCTTGGTTGGCTGCTTGTTTGGCTGCTGCTGTTGCGGATCCATCTTCTGAGCCTCGCTCATATCAGGCTGCCCTGCGCATTCCACATTGGCGAGAGGCTATGGAGCAGGAGTTTCATGCTCTTCTTCGTAACAAGACATGGACTCTCGTTCCTCCACCACCACGGGTAAATGTTATTGACTCAAAATGGGTATTCAAAGTGAAGAAGCATTTGGATGGATCTATTGAGCGTTACAAAGCGCGACTTGTTGCTCGCGGTTTTCGGCAGCGTCATGGTCTTGACTATGAGGACACCTTCAGTCCTGTCGTCAAGCCTACCACTATTCGGCTTCTTCTCTCCATTGATGTTTCTCGTGGTTGGTCACTTCATCAACTTGATGTGCAGAATACTTTTCTACATGGATTTTTGGAGGAAGAGGTTTATATGAAACAGCCGCCTGGTTTCTCTGATCCTGATCGTCCTGACTATATCTGTCGTCTTTCCAAAGCACTATATGGTTTGAAGCAAGCTCCTCGTGCCTGGCATGCCCGCCTTGCCTCTGCCCTTCGTGCTCATGGGTTTGTGCCGTCTACTGCTGACACTTCGTTATTTCTTCTACAGAAGCCAGAAGTCACTATGTATCTTTTGGTATATGTCAATGATATTATCCTTGTCAGCTCTTCTCAGTATGCTGCTGATGCTCTTGTCTGCTCTCTTGGTGCTGATTTTGCGGTCAAAGATCTTGGGAAGCTTCACTACTTTCTTGGAGTTGAGGTCACTTCTCGTGCTACTGGTCTTGTCCTTACGCAGAAGAAGTACTCCTTGGAGTTGTTACAGAGAGCTGGCATGCTGAAGTGCAAACCGACCACCACACCCATGTCGTCTACCGACAAGATAACAGCTGTTGATGGTGAGCTTTTGTCTCCTGCGGATGCCACAGAGTACAGGAGCATTGTTGGTGGACTTCAGTACTTGACGATCACGAGACCAGATATCTCTTATGCTGTTAACAGGGTTTGTCAGTATCTTCAGGCTCCCAGAGATACTCATTGGGCTGCTGTTAAACGCATTCTTTGTTATGTTCAGTTCACCCTGACATTTGGTATGCATATTCGGCCGACTTCCTCTCGGGTCCTTTCGGCCTTCTCTGATGCAGATTGAGCTGGTAGCCCAGATGACAGGCGATCCACGGGGGGTTATGCAGTATTCTTTGGCTCTAATTTGATCGCCTGGAGTGCTCGGAAACAGGCTACTGTGTCACGTAGCAGTACTGAAGCTGAGTACAAGGTTGTGGCTAATGCTACTGCAGAGATTATTTGGGTGCAGTCTTTGCTTCAGGAGTTGGGTTTGTCTCAACCACAGCCTCCTATTCTTTGGTGTGATAACATCGGTGCTACATACCTTTCTGCAAATCCAGTATTTCATGCCCGAATGAAACACATTGAAGTTGACTATCACTTTGTACGGGAACGTGTATCACAGAAGCAACTCCAGATCAAGTTTATCTCATCTAAGGATCAACTTGCAGACATCTTCACTAAGCCTTTACCGCTGCCACAGTTTGAGGCTTGTAGGCGCAATCTTACCCTTCTCAGTTCTTTAGAAAGTGGCTAAGATTGAGGGAGGGTGTTAGACTATGTATAGCTTCTGTACCTATGTACGTATATGGTACATATTGTAACACAACCATTATATATAATGAGATAAGCCACCCCTAGAGGGTTGTGCTGGTTCCCCAAAACTTATTGTCTTACACCGGATTGGCAAAAATCACAGCATCATCCGTGTAGAGACTGATGCGCATGGATAATTCTCTACCCGGCAGAGGGGCGATGATGTCCAATTCAGCAGCTCTCTGAAGCAGGCGATGCAATGGATCAACAGCGATGATGAAGAGCAATGGCTAGAGTGGGTCGCCCTGCCCAAGCCCCCTGCTGTGTCTGATCTGATGTCCGGGAAAACCGTTGAGCAAGGAGGAGCTTGCAGTGGACAGGAGCAGAGAGATCCAGTCCCTCCATCGAGCAGAAAAACCTAATGCTTGGAGCAACTCGAGAAGGTATTCCCAGGAGACATTTGTCGAAGGCTCTGGCTATGTCCGGGATTTTCTTCCTGTGAAGAGCTCTAACACCGTTTTGGACGTATATGAAGCTGTCATGGATGCATTTGGAGCTTCTTTCTTTATTGTATTCTCAAAGAAATCAATGTTTGGCTTTCTTACCCATCTCCTGTCCCTTAGTTACTTTTCCTGGTGTGCATCCCTCCCTGTGTGCTAGTTCATTTAGTCCAATTTCGCCTAAACTATAGCAGATTGAAATTATTTCCATGTGGTGTGCTTTGCGAAGATTGCAAAACCAATTTTCATACCTGTGAAGCTGATTCTTAACGGTTTGAACTACCTGAATTTTTTTATAGCCTTCGAGCCTTTGTACCTACGAGTATTGAAATTTGGTTTGGCTAATACAAATTGTCTGCTGTCACAGGATCCCTCTGCGAGTGCCAACATGAAGAATTTTCTATGTTCCATTCTTTCGTGACCCTGATATTATTGATGCGGTAAAGGGTGAATATGGCCATCTTGCAACTGTCAACCACACCGCGTGCTTTTAAACAGTCTATTTTTGGTTGAATTTCACCATAATAATGCTTTATCCTTGTCATATTTGGCGACCAGCCGAAATTTGAGTTCACTTTAGTTAACGCAGTAAACCTGAGCACTTACCATCTTGATCGGTCTTTCTGTCCTGACCCGACGGAGTACATTGAGCAACCGGCATCTGTCGAATCGTTTCACTGTTAATTTGATCTGCTGCCTATGCCACATGCTTTCAGTTTGATCCAGACACAATTTTGGTGTTGACGTTTTGTATGTTGAAGCAGGCTGAGTATGGTTCACAGTAGTAGTAACTAGCAAACAGAAAACTTTACGAGATGCTCGGACAAAATAAATTTCATCATCCAATCCAATCCAATGGTGCAGGACCACCACTTTGGCGGTAACTTTGGTGGATGTATCGATCAATGTCGATGCGCCGTGAGCATTTCGCTTTCTCCCCTCCCTTTTCTCCCATTCCCGGATGGAGAAGCATCGACCACAGTGTCACTACCCGCAGATCAGCTGGAAGCAGACTGAACGCTCCTTGTTCCGTCCATGAAGCTGAAATTCCAACTTTTCGCCTCAAAAAAGCAGGAATGGCGGCACGCCGCGCCCGGAAAGAGAAAGGTGTGCGAGAAAAGAATGGCCCAACATCAAAGAGGGCCAGAGATCATATTCGTCGAGTTGTCGCGTGAGCGAGCGAGGGAAGATAAGATAAGATGCCTTGGGCCGCAACAAGTTGCAGCACATAAGACAGTATGGCCGCAGCAGCTAGCGACGCTTGCCTCAAAACGCAGAGAGACGGACAAGGACGGAGCACGGTCGGTTTGGTTGCAACGTCAATTTTGTTGGGCTTAGGCTAAGGGTGACGTGGAAAGAGCAGTGGAGAACATGGAACCGTGTACTGTATGCATGACATGTGATCGAACGGAATCACATCACAAGGTTCCATGATTTCATTTATGGGAATGAGGAAACAACATTATTTTCAGAGCACACTGAGGACTCTTACTCTTATCTGAACGAGTAAAGTGAAAGACACGCCCCCAAAACAGGCTAGACCTTGCAAAAGAAACGGAAAACACGAAACATTTTGCAGAAATCAATCAATGGCCACCCTCGATCGAGAAGGTCGAGAGCCTAAGTGTCGTCCGGCGGTGTGGTAGGCATTGGCTGCTGGTCGCTCAGAGCTCAGAGGAGGAGGGTGGTCTCGGCGATCATGGAGGTGACGACGTAGGGGTCCATGTTGGAGGCCGGCCTGCGGTCCTCGAAGTAGCCCTTGCCGTCCTTCTCCGTGTCGCGGCCCACGCGGATGGACGCGCCGCGGTCCGCCACGCCCCACTTGAAGGTGTTGATGTCGGCGGTCTCGTGGTGGCCCGTGAGGCGGCGCTCGTTGCCCTCGCCGTAGGCGGCGATGTGCTGCGCGTGCCGCTTGCCCAGCTTCTCGATGGCCGTCTTGATCACGCCGTACCCGCCGGCCTCCCGCATCGACTTGGTGCTGTAGTTGGTGTGCGCGCCGGCGCCGTTCCAGTCGCCCGGGATCGGCTTCGGGTCCAGGGACAGCACCACCCCGGCAACCTCCGTGATCCTCTGCAGCATCAACCGATCGAATTGGAACCAGATTCAGTCAGTTGCGATACGAGGCTCCAATAATACATTGCAGTAGGTATCAGCAGGGGAGGGCAGGGACCTCGAGGATGTAGCGCGCCACCCACAGCTGGTCTGAGGCGGCGATCCCGACGGACGGCCCGACTTGGAACTCCCACTGTCAGTGTCATGTCACCAAGATGAGAATCAGGTTCAGAAATTCGCACGCCCAAGCCTAGATAGCAGAGCTCTTTTGACAAGAGAGGAACCAAGTTGTGTACCTGGCCGGGCATGACCTCCCCGTTGATGCCGCTGATGTTGATCCCGGCGTAGAGGCACGCCTTGTAGTGGGCGTCCACGATGTCACGCCCGAACGCCTTGTCGGCGCCGGCGGCGCAGTAGTATGGTCCCTGCACAAAATTCACACAATCAATATCATCTGAAAACCTACTACCTTCAGTGGACTGTGGACAAATTTCAGTTCAAAAACATATTTCTTTTATGTTTTACATGCATAAGCTATAACAAATTTGTTGAGAATTTTCTTGCCTGAGGACCAGGGTAGCCACCAATGGGCCAGCCAAGAGGCCAGTTCACGTCCTTCTGGAGGAGAGTGTACTCCTGCTCAATTCCATACCTGTTTGGGTTCAGAGATAAGCCTAATCAGTGCTCTAACCGTAAGCAGATATAAGGATACAAATGTGGAAACCTCCAAATTTTGTGGTCTTCCAACCCATTTTGGTAGCTTTTCTGTCTGTATCTGCTAGAGTAGTAGATAAATCTGTAATTCCAGGAACATGAATTTTACACTTATTTTTCCAAACTCTTTTCCATCTGATGCAAAGTGTGGTGTGGTACTTATCTATATTGTACTACAACTTATTGTGTTCTCACGTGTGTATGTATTTTTTACGCAAGAGCGCTACAACTCTAGATGAAACACTGCAGCAACAAAAAACTTGAAACATCGACGGAGGTATTCGTACCATGTCTCCTCAGCTGCAACCTTGGGGGTGTTGAAGATCTTGGCGGCATTGTGCCTCTTGTTGGTGGGGATTGGCACACCTTGTGGTGTGTAGCAGTCACACATAACCTACAAGGAGTAATAAATAGAAAAAGATCAACAAACCGACGACTTTGCGCCAAATACAGTAGAAACTTGGCCTCTGATTTGGCTGGAACTTTTCTCAGTTCAGGTATTTAAGATTTGTGCTGGTCAAACAGTTGTCTGAAAGGCCAAGTTGTTTCTCTGAAGAGACAGTCTCATAAGCAATTAATTATGAGCCAAGCAGGTCAACCAGTGCAATTTTAGTGTGTTTATACAACAGGGCGCAAACACCTGGCTATTTTGTCCACCAAATCACACATATGTCCAAGCACATCAAACAGCCACAAAATCCAGTTTTTACTTTTAAAATTAAGCCACAAAATCCAGCTTTTCTATTTTTAAAATTTAGTGATGCCCAGAAACTATGTTTCCTGTGATTTTTTTTTTCAAAGACCCATCTGCATCTTACTTTTCCTACTTTATGGCATCCAGCATCTTTGGTGCATAAAAAGTTTGAAAGAATCAAGGAGGATAAAAGGCAGCAAGGACTTACAAGGAGGTTGTCGCCCCTCCTGAACGGGTCCTTGAAAATGGCCTGGGGGCTTCATCAGAGTCAAAAAGAAAGAAAATACAGCTTGTAAGCAAACAAGGAAAGTAGAAATACTTGTAATAATAAGTGAAATAAAACCATTAGAGAAGGCGAGAGAATCGAGATCATCGTACTAGAGGATGACTTCGCTGTCCTCTCCGGGAGCCTGGCCGGTGCTGGAGCCGTCGTAGTTCCACTTGGGCAGCTGGCTCGCGTCCGTGATGGGGCCGTTCACCGTCTGCTCCATCCAACAGAGGGAAACAGAAAATTTCAGTGAGATTCAGCGAGCTTCATCAGCCAAGAACGAGAGAGTTCGGTGAGTTGAGAGGTGTGTGCACGCACCCTTGCTTTGCTCCTGATGTCGATACCGGATCCTCCAATCCTGAGCAAAACAAACAGAGCACTTATTAGAGACAGAAAAAAAGAGATCGCGCAGATAAAACTCGTCAGAATTTATTTTAAAAACTTGACAGAAAAATTCGAGCTGTAGCAGAAATTAAAAAACGATGGGTGCAGAATGCAAGTAGCATAAGAAGACGATCTTGCAGAATTTGCTTCTTCTTCCTCCTCCTAAGATCAGGAGGAGATGGGGAGCAGGGGAGGCTGGTAGGTAACTGACCAGAGGTACTCGACGATGATCTTGTCGGTGCAGTCGCTGAGGTCGAGGTTGACGAGGTCGGCGAGGCTGGCCATTGCTGCTGCCGGTGCTACTCGCAAGGAGGGAATGGCAATGATATGAGATGAGGTGTGCAGCTCGAGAAGCAGGGGATGAGGAGAGAGCCGGGAGGCGCGGTCGGTATTTATAGCGCGAAGCTCGCTGGGCTACGTATTGATTCGTTTTTCTGTTTCAGTTTCAAAAGATACTCTCTCTCTCTTGTTTTGCGACGTTTAAAAGATACTCTGTATATCTCCTTTATTTTTATTGTTTATTTTTATTGTAGAAAGAAGGATCCACAGGGGTTGTGTGTGTGTGTGTGTGTGTGTGTGTGTGTGTGTGTGTTGCAAGAGCCTGAAGTAACCATCTCAGCTTGAGGGGGGCTCACACGTAACCAGACCGTGGCAGGGGTCTCCTGAAATCGACGTCGTCGGGATCTGAAGGTACCAGATCGGGCGTGGCGAGTGGCTGGCAATCGTCGTCAACTTCCCCTCGCCGGATCTAGCCGGCTCGGCTCCGTCCCTACCAAAGGGGCTCATTTGGGCCAGAAGGAGGGGTCTTTTCTGCCCCTTAACCAGTTGACGGTGTTCGTGTACGGTGGTGCTGATTGAGGGCCGTCTTGGTCATGGGATCCACGGTGCTTGTGTGCGGACCTCGTGGCTCAGATGTTGGTTGGTTACCATGGTCACGTAGGCGACGTGGTAGCTAGTGTGCGACGATCAATAATAGTGGTACAACGGGCGTCCCCGCAGCTTGTTGCATTACATCTCGAAGTCGGAGAGGGCTTGCGAGGGTGAAAACCTCTCTGCTCTGCCAGGACGGCGGCGGCATCGCTTATGGGATTGTCTCCTTCTTGAAGGCATCGTCGCGGTTCCTCTTCGTCCTCCTTGTTGTTCTAGGGAAACCTTGATCCTTGGATCGAGTGGTGGTGGCGCTCCGATGTCGGGTCCTTTCTGAAGACACAATATTGGATTACCCGGCTCGTCGTGCACGACTTCGACTCTTCCTTGTGACTCGTTCACGGTTGAGGGCTTCAGTGACTTCAGCGGTGCCCTTTCTTCCTACCTGTAGGTGGCTTGGAGTTATATGGCGCAATGTAGTTGTTCTCAACACCCATGAGCTTGCCTTGAGTGTGTGTCTTGTGGTGTCGAGTTGTATGGGTTTGGCTGTATGTTGGTCGGTGCTTTGTCTAGCTGGAGGAGATCCTTTTTTTGGTAAGGATCAGCCATGGTAACTTGAGTTGGATGTATAATTTTGCCCCTACACTTTTATGTTGTTTAGTTTTTTTAAATCAAATATTGACTTATGCAATCCATGCCTTAGAAAGAAAAACTTATTGTCAGACATTCCAAAAAACACAGCTTGTGCGAGTATCGTATTGCCAAAAAGAATGACCTTAACTAAAAGGGGCAAACCTTAACTAAAAGGAGCAAAATGTAAGGGACCGTTTCTGAATTGGGAATAACTATAACTTGCATGTATATCATGTTTAAATTGGATAGTTGTCAGCGGACATAATTATTTCCTAGTCGCTAGAGAAATAAAATAAATTCTTGCAAATAACTGGGATGAGGTCTAGGTTTGCTTTAAGCTAAAGGTGACCATATCAAAAAACAACTGTAAAAAAGCTTTGCATCTTTAGATCAATCATTTCTCACAGAGGACTTTTGAGTTTACCATTAACCAAATGATGTAGTTAAATTTCTTCATATTCAGCCAGCTATGACCAATAATATTAGCGATGTTCCAGCAATATTGCACGTCGTTGAGTCTCATATGCTCTGCAATTGGATGGTGGAACAGACTCACACCGTAGCCACATTACCCTACTTAGATGATGGCGAATTGGCGATGTCCTTGATGTCGGAGCCACTTGTGCTTACCGGTTCACGTAGTGACAAATGTATCATCCATGTGAGGATCCAAGTAAAAGAGGTGTGGTGGCATGGCAGCGACGTCAATCCCTCACATGCTCTAAGCAGCATTCTTCCTAACATCAAGTGTTTTTACATGTGGAGTCATAAATTATGTTACACGTTAAGCAATAGTGCAGAGCCTGAGATAGAACGCACCTCCCAAAAATAGCCCATGGCACAGAGTTTTGTGACTCCACGTTGAATGAGAAGTGGGAGACACACATGTGACCACCACCTAAGAAACAAAGGGTAGAGCATGTAGTGTCCCATTCCAAGCCATATCAACCCAATAATTGTGTCAGATCTGTCGGTAGCTCTACACAAAATAGAAGCTTTATTCCATAATTATAGGGTCACAGTTAGAAGGCAAAAATTCCTCAATATGTGTTGAATATCCTCTATATAGCCAAACATGGTACGACTGTAATTTGTCAGTCGATCGGCCAAATATATGTTCCGATGTTACGCTAAAATATCTGGAGTGTATTTTGTTGAGAAAGAAACAAAAAAGAATACAGAAAAGGGTGCATTTTGCCAACGATTTTTGGTAGCGTCACACGTCTGTGGTGGTAGAGCTGCTAAACTGAACCAAGTTGGGTATTTCGTGTGGGAATTCACTTTCGTGCTGTCTCGCCCTTGTCCCGTAGGATGTTAACTGTTCGGAGCCGGAATTGGTAAGCGACCGACGTGACCTTGCTTCTGCGGTCCGATCACCTCCAGTTAACAACAAGTTTTTTTTTTTTGACATCACCAGTAAACAACAAGTTTTTTTTTAATTGCCATCACCAGTAAACAACAAGTTCCTCCTATAAGAAGTGCAAGTTCTGGCTTTTCCCCCATATGTGACTTATCTTTTCTCTTTTTTTTGCCGGAACTATATGTGAGCTGTCAACTTCTACTTCCACAACCAATCAAGAACCATGCTTCTGGTTAATTGCCTGTATTGCACATGACAAAATAAAAAGGCATTGGCTTTTCTTGTACTCTCTTCGTTCCTGAATATATGTCTTTTTAGAGATTTCAAATGAACTACAATATATGGATGTATATAGACATATTTTAAAGTGTAGATTCACCATCTTGCTTTGTATGTAGTCGCTTGTTGGAATCGCTAAAAAGACTTACATTTGGGAACAGAGGAAGTACATGGCAAAAACTTTTGCTAGGCATCGGATGCCATCAATCTACCCAAAACGGGTGGACTACATAAAAACAGCGACATTTTTTCTCTCTCTCTCGCCGTTACCTTTCTCTGTTCATGGCGATGGGAAGGCGTCATGTAGGCCATCATCAGGCTTTCAATAGGAAACATCAGCCAAGGATAAGACTGCCAAATTGATCCACACGGAGCCCTTTTAAAATGCTCGTCTACTTCGGTACAAAAGCCATGGATTGGCCCATCCTCCAGCATAGACGATGACATTTTGCTAAAACCGACAAGAAACGGGCCGGCTATCCCAAGAACAATGCATCCGCTGTTACGCCGCATTCCTGAGTTTTCGACGACGATTCGCCAGTTTGCAAGTTTTTTAGATCGGAGGGCGAGTGTACAATATGGATTTGTTATTTGATGACATGATTGAAGTTCGTAGGGATAAACAAGTGAGCCCTCTCTTTGCTTCAAGATTTCCACGTTATAGTTTTCGCCTCCGCCAATCGTATTTTTGTTCCCTAGTTTGTCCAAATTATTCAGCTAACCTGGACTTGTTGATTCTAATAATGTTGTCCACAGCTACTGGATTCTAAACAACGGAATACCAAGGGCCAATTGAAGGCAGTGTTGGAACATACCCCTCTGGTATCTTAAACGTCTTCCATTCACCGCATTGTTGGTTGACTTTGCATCTGCATTGTTCTGCCTTGTTTTCTCTCATGTCCTTTTCATGCGGTAAGATATTGACTTTTGTATGGCATGGAAGATCGTCATTTGATGGACACATTTTTTGACAAACTCGTTGTGTTTTAACCACATTGCCCCCCTGTTTTGATGTCTTCTGCATGTCTCCAACCATTGGAGGTTAAGGCAGGTGACATTTTCGCCGATTTCAAGGTACGTGTGTACTTGAAGAAGGATTCTTGTGCAGGGATCCTTAGAATGTTTAACTTTCATTCTTCCTTTTTCTTTTCAGGATCAAATCTTTTTGCCGGCCAGATGGTTCAATATCTTAATTTTATTCTGAATTTTTGATATCATGCTCTCTCGGTAACTCCTTTGTATGCCCTGCTGCATATTTTCTTATTTTATCTTCACTATAGTATGCAACAAACCAACGACCGTCCATGTGTTCATATATAGGGGTAGTCCAAGTGCAACCCTTGAGGGTTGAGGTGCGACAGACGATCTCACCATGATGTCCCTTTAGGCTCATAAAAGTCATGCCAGTGTGTCCCATTTGTTCCCCCAAGAACCGACTGGCCGGTTTACGTTTCTTAACTTGTTTCCAAGAACTCAATTTGTAGTTTGGTACCCATTTTTCTGTGAAGAATCTTGCATCTCCGTCGCATCACCGGCTTGTACTATTGTTCACGGAATCTATTCTCAGCACAATGGAAGTATAAAAACTCTCTTGTAGTACTACACTGGATGGAAAAAATTATGTTTTATGGAAGAAAGGTCAACCAAGATACTCATTATCATGTACTATCTCTCGCATCAAGACCATGTAAACATAACCATCATTCAACGTGTCCATTGTTTCTCAACTCTTCCATCCTGATCAATTAATGAGAAAACTATGAGCCTTTCAACAACTTCCGCTGTCATCTTTTGAAAAATATGATAAAAGAACATGTTTGTACTCTTCCGTTCAACCTGTGATACTGTCATGGGGCGTCACAGATGCCCCGACTTGTTAGATTACCGCGCATCTGGTACATGTTACCTCAACTACATTTCGGTGTGGCCCTTCGGTTAAAAAAAATGAAGTAGTAAGTACTCCCTTCGGCACAAGTTGTACTAGAGCCACGACAATTAATTTGGATCGGTGGAAGTATATACCATTTGCTTCAGTACAACTAATTAGTCATGTAGAATGTTTTGAATAAGAGAATGAAAAAAACTAGTCCAACCGGAGAGGGCCCAATGAAAAGTTAATTGATTAAAGTACATAACAAACATGAGATACCATAATTCAGATTTCGCACCTGGTCGGCAAGGAAACACCACCAAGTCCTGACAAACCCATTTCTCGGTGTTTAGAAGGAGAGAGCATGTCTCATAGAGTGGTTCAGAGACTCGTGTTCAAGGTTGGATCATTCATAGAGTGGTTGAGAAATATGAGCACCCACCCTCATGAGAGTAATTTGTGTATGTATATATATATATATATATGACTGAATTTCGCCGAGAAAGCGTCAGGGATACTATATCGATTCAGCACAACTTTGGATCATTTGTTGTGAAATTACAACTTGTGTGCTAATGATTTGCACGACACCCGAAATCATCATATGATGTCAAAACTAACTGGTCCGGCCCCTAAAGAAAAATGCAAGAAAATTGCAAATGAGCTAAAACTTTCTCAAAATAGTCATCAAGTATTTATGATTTTCTGGTAACTTTGAATTACCAATCAGATTTGGGGAAAATAATCTTCAAAAGGATGATTCTATTTTGAATTACCAATCAGACAAAAATTCAGCTTATTTTCTGGTAACTTTCGATCCAAATCATCACGTGACCATCATTTTTCAGACAAAATTCAGTCCAAATCGTCACGTGACCTGACAAGTATAGGTCCGGGTTAGTTTTACATCAAATGATGGTTTTGGGTGGGTGTCAATCAAGGCAGATAGTATTCTTCAGTGGGAGACGACGTCCCCGTCGACGGTGAGGTGTCTATGATGACTTTGTTGATCTCAAGATCCGTCAACTCGGTGTCACAAAGGTGCTCACAAGGGTAGGATGTTTGTGTTGCTTTCAAAGGGTTGAGTCTGTGTGTGAGCGCATGTGGTTTTACAGCAAAAACCCCATAAATTATGGGAAATTGACATAAGCTCTCCCAGATTTTTTTCTTTTCCAGGAAAGTTCTCCTAGAGTTTTTTTTTAACGTAAATAACTTTATTCCTAAAGTTCTCCTAGAGTTGATGCTCTGCAAATCTATATATATATATATATATATATATATATAGGGTCGCGCTATTCGTCACCCTGGGTGAGGAATAGTTATTCTTCATCCTCCTCTATTTTACTATCAATGCACCGTAATTTTACATTCCATAAATTTTGTCTTATTACCGACGCAAAAAAGGACCGTAAGAAAATATAATCGCCGTAAAAAATATTTTATGTTATGTAAAATTACAAACGTAAAAACATAGTCTAAAATACACATAAACTGCAAATTTTCTTGTCTTATGACCTATATTTTTAATTTTTATGTCAAATTTTACGTAATTAATCAATAGGAATGTAACTATTTGAATTCGAAACGTAATTTAATTATGAAATGATCGTAAGATTACCTCAGGTGAAGAATAACTTATCCAGGATTGGGTATGGTTGCAAGAAAGAGTCTGATTTATTATCCTCTATCTCTTCTTTAGAGCAAGTACAATAGCAGACCCGCTTACATTGCAATTTTGCTTATGTGAAGGAGAGAGACATGAAAAAATGAGGGGAGTGGGCTCTCATGCAAGAGTCTAGCTATATGCGTGCTCCTAGATAGATACAATAAATATGAAGAAAGAGATAGGAAGAAGGTGAAACAAAGTAGTCTCTTATAGCCAACCTTGTTATATGAGTGACTATAAGTGACGAATATTGTCTTTGGAGGCCGAGCTCCATGGAGCTTGGTTTTGAAAATTTTGAATTTCTTCAAATTTATATTTTCTGCATTTCAAAAAGTTTTGAAAAAGAAAACACGGATATACATGAAGGCATAACACACATGTGTGTAAAATTTCACGGCAAAATACGTTGAAATGAGGGTTGTGCAAAAAAGACAAATCTAGGTTTTTTAACACATGATACTATTCATCCTCTCAGGCCATGAATTTGTCTTTTTTACAGGTCGTATTTCAACGTTTTTCATCCTGAAACTTTACACACATACACATAACATCCTTGTTTACTTGCATTATTATTTTTATAGATTTTTTTGAAACCGAAAAGTTTGAATTTTGATTTGTTTTCAAAAAAGGCCTCCATGGAGGCCAAGAGCCAAATGTATAGTTTCTATAAGTGATGACTATATATGACATGGCAACATCATATAGCCCGCAATTGGCTATTCTATTAACCATGCTCTTATAGCGCAACTGGCATCGAATTCAGCTTTGGAAAAAAAACAGCTGCAAGAAACACCACCAAGTCATGTGCAAACACATTGGCAATCACACATGGCGTACCAGCAACTGGCATCGAATTGGCATCGGGCACAAATTCCTTGGTGTGTGTTTCAGTGTGCAGAAAGGAGGGGCAGCGGGCACCGTAACAGTAAAGCGAGTAGGAGGATTGGCAAAGATAGGCGCACAAAGGAAGCTGGCTTATTTGAACCACCAGATCCCCAATGCATGATTTTGCTGACAAGACTGGATAGAAATGTGCCCCATGGCCGGATGGATTAGGACCAGTCGTACATAATCTTACTTGGTCTAGTAGAGCGTCCGCAAATTGATATCAGGGATATATTCCCTGCGTATCATGAGAAACCACCGGTCGCTGCACAAGGCCGTCGGGTCGTAGAGCATCTCTGGCCGAACTCCTCAAAAGCTTAACCACAGCCTGTACACGTCGAGTCATTTTGTTACACCTCACACACACCGAGCCTGTAAAGAAAAGAGGATGCCAAAGTGAAAAATTCAAATTTTCAAGGCTCGTGTCATATGCTCTCTCTCTTTTTTTTTTGCGGGAAGGCTCATTTCATATGCTAATCAGAATTCTTAGAGTACGAGGCTCCTTCTGTGTTACTACTTTTGTCTGAATCTGTCCTCATGAGCCTGTACGTTTACAGCTTTTGTGTTCGGAACAAAAATTCACAGTGAAATCTGATTGTTGAAGCAGGCCTCAGCGGGCAGTCAAACGCCCGGACCACAGAGGCGTCCCAAATTGTAAATCAACAATGAGAAACCAAACCCACTCAGGTCGCCCACACGTGACCACATGAGACACTAATCAGCACACGGGACAGATCATTTCGAGAGCAGTTTGGAACTAATATGTTGATACAAAGGGTTAAGCGCAGATCTTGCTCCCAAATATAACATGTAAACCGATGTATGGACAAGGTCCAAAAAATGCATGCTTAACAGCAAAAGGCTACATATACCAGGCCACGAAGGTAGAAACAGAAATTTACACCGCATATCGCTAAATTTATTGGAGATTGGTAGGCAGAACAGTTGTAACATATCTCCAGATACTACTATGCTCATATGGCCTTCAATTGAAAAATTACAGAAACCAGATGAGCAGTAGAACATCTAAGAAAAAAAATAAGAATCACTAAAGGGAGAATGGAAACGAGCTTTCTCCAACAAATAATTGCCATCCCATGACAAAATCTAGGAACCAAACAAAAAGATTACACTCTATGTACCCCCCTATGCAACCTCCTTTGGAAAAAACTAAAGGAGACCAACCAAGCCCCAACAAATTTGTGACGATGCGTCCTGCAAACGTACCATACATCACAAGCAACCATATGTGCATCATGAAATGGCTTTGGGTGCTCTAGATGGGGGCCTGCTTATCTCTGGTGTTGAGGAGGATTCTGATTCTTCATATCTTTGAATCTCCTGCATGGAATTCACAAATGCTTACCACCCTAGCAATCATCCTTTGGAGGAAAGGCGGGTTTACACAAATAAATAGTTAAATAAAGATGCAGTCATATTCTGTTAGGAAGGTGATTAAGAACACCAGTGCAAAACCAGTCAGTGATCAAGGGTCAGCATTTCTGGATTCGAATAGATATATTTTCCAAGAGCAGCAAGGCCAAAAGTTCCAATAGTAGGAATTTGAATAACAAATACAGTACAAAATTGTTATACTATTTGGATGAATCTAATGATATCATTTTCACCTTTTCGATCAAAATAGTGTTCATATATTAATTAGTAGCCAAAGTTAGATTAGTTTCATTGCACGCCCTTCAAGATGCCTAAGAATGAAGATAGTGGTAAGATCGTGAATGTAAGCAAAACAGTACCTGCGATAATACTGCTGCTGAAGCGGATTTTCGAGATTGCAGTTGATTCTTCAAATGGTTTCGGTGCTGCTGCTGCATGCTCCCAAATTGCTGGAGACGAGATGAAAAATCGATTGCGCTATAGTTTGGCACATCTTGATTTCGATTGCCATCTTCTGTCACTTGTAGAATCTGAGAGTATGGATTTGCAGAAGATGTGCGCTTGAGATTTTCACTGAAAGGCACTGTCTTCAGTCGAGTCCTCAAGATCTTGAAGGCCGCACTTTGCTGCATGAACATAAACAATATATTATAGACAGTTTAAATAGTTAAAACTTCCCTTAAGTAAACAATTCAGAAGGGGGAACTTGTGAAAAGGTCAACAGTCCCTGCGCCAAAAAATACCCGTTCTAGAAGAAATGGAAGACCACATTCCAAACTAGCATGGAACCTAACAGTACAAGGCTCAAAGAAATGGAGATCAAAATGCCAAAATGCAGAACTAACAAAGGAACCATTAGAGCAACATTTTTTACATCATAAGCTAACACCAGTACTTTCAGGGAATTGACATGGATATAAGACTTCGAAGGGATGGCGCAAAAGCAACATGCCTATTTCCACACAGAAGTTGGAAGAATATCTATGCAAGTAGAAAATCCTGTTCCAGTGGAAAGGTAAAGGCCATTCATGGGATACCTATCATAGTGCAAGATGGCTGCAGCTATCCAGGGATTTCCAATTGGACTTTGATTGAAAAAGTTCTAAATAAACTGTGTAAAGAGGCAGATTATAATGGTACATGTCTGGTGTGAGCAATATGCACCTTAGTACAACACATGCGTGTTCCAACTACGGAAAAATATAGCCTTCAGGCAATAACGATAATAGGGTCCACTGCATATTTATCTATATGGCTTCTTTTTCTATAAATATCTGAAGTCTCCAAGTTCACAATTTGGAAACAGCATATTTGTTGAACTATTGAAGAAGGCTGTAGGAATCACATTTCAACATACCTGAGGCAAGAGCATAAGGAGACCGTAAAGTGTTTTCAGAAGCCAAGTGTGTTTTCCAGGCTCAAGAAGCTGCATGTATAAAATAGTACATCAGCAGAGTGGCATACCATATAAAATAGTAACCAAAATTGAAACAACAGAACTTACATATTAGGTCTAAATGTATAAACAAGCAAAATGTAAGGCATACCATCACAATTTTCATAGCTTATCTTTGTGTTGGCCTTAGGAGTATTTTATCTGAATGTGAAATCCCTAGAAGAGAGCATCAAACTTTGGGGAAAAGTATGACCAAAAGAAGACATGGACATACAGTAATTTACAAAGATGCATCCGGACCTATTGTGTTGTGTTACAGAAGTAGATTAACAGAAGCCAGAAGTCGAAGTAGGATGATTAAATGACAAAACCGTTAAAAGAGGAGAACAAAAAAAGAGAAACAGACACATCCAAATGCTGGAACGGATTAGTTAGTCATAAAAGGCGACTTCACCTGTAAACGCAAGTAAGCAAATACTGGAGTCTCTAATAGACGGATCAATTTATCTAGCTGCACCAGAAACTTCACATTTATGTCTTCTTCTCCCAGAGACTGAATAACAGAACTCGCATGATTGTATGCCTATACACATTGGATAAGATCAAATATCAGTAGAGTCCAAGTAAGCAACACAAATATAAAATCCATCATTACCACCTGAGCAAGTAAGCACAAGCTGATTGTAGCCATTGGAGAGTGGCACCAAGAAGCGTATAAAGATAGAAATAAGTCCTTCCCACAAGTATCCACCAATGACTTTTTAAGAAGAGACCGCAGCTCCGCAAGTTCAGTAGATGTGAGCAAAATCAAATTCAATGCCTACACACAAAAATGCTTAGTTATACAGATGTTGCATTTAAAACATCCAAGTTGAAAGATGTGCTAACTGAACGTACCTGAACCATGGTGGAGGCAAAATCAAGGTCACCTTCAGTCTGAAGAATAGTAGAAAACTCTCGATAAACTTTTTCAGCACCCAGAAGAACACAAAGTCGACGAACAATCAAAGCACCACGCCTGTACAAAGTAGCAATAAAACATTTATTTGCATGCCATTAACCAGATATTGAAGTATCTAACCTAAACCACAACAATTCATGAAGAAAGAATCAGCTCTAGAGTAGCAAAATGTACGTACTTCTCCAGAAGAACATGATTGTTGTGGAAAGTATGGATTAAGTAAGACATGAGATGTTGGAAGTGATGATACTCTTCAGCTATGCGTGCATGAACTTCCAACACTAAAAGGACAACCTGCACAAGTAAAAATGCTGTGACCAAACTGCCAAGCTTGCTTCTGCGATAGCGTTTTCTTTTTACCAAAGAAGTAAAACACTAGTGGAAGCTAGTTCTATGGAACGACTGTTTTACAATACAATGAATTAGCATGAAATTTGTTCCAATCACATACTCCCTCCGTTCCTAAATATATTGCTCCATATGTAGTCTATATTAAAATCTCTAAAAAGACTTATATTTAAGAACGGAGGGAGTATATAGCTATATTTGATTATGTCATTTCAAGGTAACAATGGATAACTGGGTCCAGACATCCAGTTCAAGATCCATTGAGCAAAGGACATCACCATTTCAGACTTGCCAAGGGCAATCACAACAAGGGTACTCTATCACAATGGCAATGATAACCATAATAATAGTGGATGGCAATCCCATTACAGTGACCATAGTGCAAGCATACAATCTCACTCCCATGTATAAATGCTTTGGAGAATCAAATGGCTGAGAGAGTTAGATGGGGACTATAAGTCCAAGAAGTCAAGAATCGATCAAAATGTGATTTTGTCCCCTTGGTACAATATCAGTATAGAAAGCATAGAACCATGATTCATCATTTAGCTCCACTCAGGAAACAAATTAATCTATACACTACACTGTTTCAAACTGTGCAATAATCTATACTTTTATAAAAGACTCAATTGGTGATGATGGTGTGTCTGTCATCCGTCATTTCTGACCATCAGATCTGCATCTAACAACTATGACGTAAGCTGTGGCATTTTTGCAACAAAGACCCCACTTCTCTGCTCCAATTTGCAGAAACCCCTTAGTACCTTGAAACCAACCACATCCCTCCCCCACCTCATCAAAACAACCATGAGGAATATAGTTTGGGTGAAACCTAATACGAGTATATTTTTAGTGATATATATATACCAAAACTAGAGTGTTTTCTTTCAAGTTTGTGAACATGTATTATTCTACTTTGGATCCGTTGCAATGCACAAGCACATTGCTAGTTGTTTCCAAGATTTGACTACAGATAACCATACATAGAGCAAAGTAATATTAGCTAGACACAATGTGACACAGTTATATCATAATCTCAAGTTACAAGTACACAGGTGGTAGGCTTTTTGGAACAGCTTACTGCATCTGAAGGATCGGAGAGTGCATTTAGAAGTGGTTCAAAAATGCCATCCAGGTATGCCGAGAACTGTTCCACATAAATACAAGACATCAATTGTAATAGAATAGATTTGCAGATATGTTGATTCCAGACTCAAGGAGATAAAAGTAGCACTTCAAAAGTTAGGACATACAGTATTATGCAAGCATCAACTTGTTGACTATAGTGCTACGTAATCCAAAACATTTGCATAGTTTTTTAGTACCTCAGCACGACCTCGAACTAGTAAAGTGGAAAACCAGTGTAATGCCTCAATCCGAGTGGCTTCATGTTCGCTATTCAATTCTCTGAAACAGAAAAGGCCAGCCACATCACAAATCCCAAGCAGGCAGACATCTCAAGTTACAAGTGACTTCACACATTTATAAGTGTTGCAAAGAAACAAAATACAGCTATTGGACAGGGTAGTGCAAAGCGATTAACTGGAAGAAGCATGAGTAATCAGAATTATGCTGTGACTAATGATTCGAGGTCATGGATTGAGAGTTGAACGACTAGTCGCGTGACTAGTCTATGAGTCGCAACCTGACTGTCGACTAGCTTGTTCAACTCGACTAGTTCGTTGATAGTGCAAATCTGAGTTGTTTGATCTTCTGTAGGTTGCTGACTCATGGAAAACTGGAGGGCCTGGCCATTGGATACAATTGGCACAGCCTCAGGTTTTTCATCCACTTCCCATGCCTTCAAAAAAAAAATTGTATCCTATACTATATAATATTACCTCCGTCCCAAATTAATTGTCTTAGATTTGTCTAGATACGGATGTACCTAACACTAAAACGTGTCTAGATACATCCATATCTAGACAAATCTAAGACAACTAATTCGGAATGGAGGGAGTATATACTAGGTATCAATAGTTGAGTACTATGCTATTTTGGTACTAGCTACTGCTGAAATACATTTTCGAGTAGTCTAGACTAGTCTATGAGTCGGTACCCCGACTACTCTGCTCAACTCATTGACAAATCCTTGTTTCAGCTAACATAAGTATGTAACTGATGTGCTAATCACTACGATATTTAAACACTATTTTAAAAACTTTGCTATTTCCCAAACAAAAAATGACTATAATTTGCATTTTGCCAGTTTCCAGAAGCATAAAACTTACTCTAACGTACCGTTGGGCTTTACTGTGCTGTTCAAAGCCACTGAGAGGTTGGACTGAATTTTGGTAATTAAATGGATTTATGCAGCTGATTAAACAAAGACATTCATGGACCATGACGTCACTCTGATTATCATATGCATGACGGTTTGTCTACCGTATCCATCTAACCGGCAGCCATGTAGGGTGTTTTACAACACTGAACAGCAAGGTACCTACTAAGACATGGCAATACGAAGGATACTGTGTAATATAACACAAACAACATTTATTACATAACTAAACATAGAAATCAAAAATTCTATTCAATGGTTTGAATAGAGAACCTCTTTGCGATCACAAGAATCGCTCCAATGTCAAATCCCTCGGCTTGATCAGCTTTTATAGCTCGAAGTTCCTCATTAGTTTCACGTGCAACCTAGCAAACAAAGAAGTAAATAGTAAGCACGCAGTCTACATCTCAAGAATTGTCTGAATATAAGCAGAAAAAAGGAAGTACCACTCGAATTTTCTCCTCCTCGTCAGAGATGCATGGCAAGATAGCTCCCAAGATATCAGCATAGTAAGGGACTAGTTGTTCCCCACCAAGCTTCACGAACTCATTGATCTGCACTTTCAAGCATACAGAATGTAATAGTACTGCAATAAGATTCTAAAGATTAAATTCCTGATAACTTGCAAGACAGGAATTACCCATGTGATAGATGTCAAACGAGTGAATTCATCAGGAGAGCCTGCCCTCCTAACAAGAATTTCAGCCATACGACCATAATCTACATTCTTCTCATTTAAGGGCGGACAATCAGCAATGGAAGAGTAAAAAATGAAAACAATACTTTGCTTGTTTATGAAAAGGCAAAATCACAACATCACATAAAAAGCGTAACTATAAGGGAAGACATCTATCGCATTTACACTGTTTACAGAGTGGTACAGAATTAAAAATGCATAAGCAGTTTTACTAAGTATAGACTTACTGGTGAATTTTTTATTTCCTGCAGAAACTCTGAAAGTGCTGCATCTGCTTGCTGCCTTATCTCATGACTGGAATCACTCAGCATATTAAATAAACCTGCAGGGGGCCACCAAAGCACAAGGTTTGTTTAACTGCCAACATAAGTAATGTACTGAGGGAAAAGAGAGCCATTACCATCAAGAAAATCAGGAAGGAAACCAAGCATGTCAATATCAGGCACACTGTCTAAAACCGTGATCCACCCCACCAAAAATTGCCGCACATAAGGATTCAGCACATTCATGCGTTCTCTCAAGAGTGGTATAAATTCTTCTATGCTAAAAAGTAAAATTAAGATAAATGTAGCAATCAGAAATGGGCATTATTAAGATTAAGATGAGCAAATTATCCGACATTGGAAAACAGAATGAAGGTGTAGGGCATACCTGAATTGATCACTCTCAGTTACAATATCCTGGGTAATGAACAAATAATTTTATCAGGGACAATTAAGAAAATAGGACAGTGAACATGGGGTCTATATAAACTAAGCCATACCTTGACAAGCCTGTCAAGAAGATGAGCTGCACTCTGCACATTTGCATCAGAGTCTGCAGACAGTTTGCATAGCGCATCAAAAATCTTGTTGAAGTAGATGATAAAATCCCCTCTTACAACCTACAGACAAATACCACATTAGCATAAAGCCTATATATCACTTACTTCACGTTACTCAATGAAATGTTCACCTTCGCTATGTTATATAGCGCTTCACAGGCATAGTAGCGCACTCTGCTATCTTGGTCCAGGAAAGAATTAAGCACGGGAGGTACAATTAGCTGGAAGCACATATCAATGAAGCTCATTATGCAAGCAAATTGAAAGCAAGAGAATAATAGCACAGCCCAAAAATATAAAGCTGAAACATGATCGATCACAGTCCTAGCATAGCTGGATTAGTGAGCAGCTTAAACACGCTATATGCTTTGCACTTCAGGTTAAACCATGGAATTAGCAAATGCATATACTGAGGTTTGGTAGGTTTACCATCCAAGATAAAAACTACTCCCTTCGTTCACTATTATAACTTCATAAGATGTTCTAACTTTTTTTTCTGATTCGGATGTATATAGAAGTATTTTAGTGTGTTTGTTAACTCATTTCAGTCCGTACGTAGTCCATATTGAAATGACCAAAACTTTGTGAACGGAGGGAGTACCAATTATTGTCCCAGTCCTTTTGCAGATGAATGTTGTATTAAAGCACATATAAGATTATAGGCATCTATCTGGTATATAACGTTGAGACATCCAAGTGAAGGAACAAGGTATTGACAATTAACTATTGCCTGTCTTGTTACTTAGAGAAGTCAAATTAAATTAAGTTTCGAGCAAATTGGTATGTTACATATGACGTATGTCTTGTATGCAGGCTCATGCCCACAGCTAACACATAAACCCCAGATGCCCTACTTTCCAGAACCATAGTACAAATGATAGTTGCAGTAAGATCGTACATAATTCAAAAGACAAGAACACTGTTTTCTGCAGTGAAACATTACATGGTGCTTACTGGAATACCAGCAAAGTTACTTAGGAGCTGTACTGTCATGCAATATCACAGGACAGCAACCATATTATGCAAATTTATTCCAAGTTTCACCTTTGTGGAGATGTGACAACCATCAGAATGCTACTCCCATCCCCAACAACACACACACAGAGCAACAGCAG